TGGGCGTTCACGCTCTAGTTTCAGAGGGTAGGATTGGTTGATTAGGGATGCTGGAGAGGATAGAGGCGAGCCGGTTGGTTTTTGGGTCAAGCGGGGAGCCTCGATAGTTATGATTGGATTTTTGGACATTAAGGGTGCAGCTGCGTTTTGACTCTTAAGAAAATTCTGTTCTCACGGAACGTTAGAATTGGAAAATGTCACTTGACACTTATGACTTTCAGATTTTTAGAGTTCGCCGTGTTCGGTTTACAATTTCAGGATGAAAATACTTATCTTACATATTTATTTCGACTTTTATGATTTTTTGAAAAGTTTATGATGCACGTGTGCATCCATCTGTTTTTCGGTTTCGTTTATCACGTGGGAATGGTATTTTTAAATGTTTCTCAAGAAAAAATGTGGTCTGGACACTTGAGTGTTATTTCTTAAATGTAATTAATAATTTCTTATTTTATTGGATTGGAAAAATGATATTCGAATATTGGGCCTTATATACTAATTGCTGGTAACACTCGACAGTCGATAAAGTAAAGTTAAAAATTTAATATAACGCCATCAGGTGGCCAAGGTAGGGACGTAACAAATGAATTCATACTACAGTTCATGTGTCAAAAAATAATATTTTTGTAATCCAAGTTTCACAATTTCTTTCGAAAATAATCAGAAATTTTCTAGATGAGATTGATTTTATATATATATATATATATATATATATATATATATATATTGTTCAGGAGCACAATCAATTTCATTGGCGGAATCGCGAGTAAAAATTGTGAAACCCGAATGTTGCAAAAATGAATCATCCTGAAAAAAAAATATGGACAATATCTTGAAATTCTGTATCAATTAAGCAAAAAAAAAATAAAATTATTTCATACATGTTGAGTGGGAATCTAACGTGAAGTGAAAAGTATAATTAACAGTGGCGACAGTGACTGACATCGTTAAAAGAAATCCTACCTCGCACACAAGGTGTAAAAGAATAAAAAAAAGGAAGAAAAGATGAAAAAAAAGTATTTCGGAGTTTTTGAACTGCACTAAAATTACTATCAATTTTTCAGAAATTTTTTCATCCTACTGTCACCATACAATTCAATACGAATTTATTGCAAAGATAAAAATTCCGATGAACGTTATTTTTCGCGCGAGGTTCACCCAAAGTTCCGTTTTGCACGATGTCCCTTTCAATATTTTTACCTTTTTATCTTTCAAGACATAAATTTCAGTAGAAATTCATCCATTGGTGGGATGATTGGCAGATGAAGAGTAATTTACGCTCATTTTCAGTAGTTTGCTCACTTACCCTCTTGTAGCACTTTACGATATCCATCTTCAATCTTTTTCTATCAGTGTACGTGCCCCGCCGTACTTTCCTGATACCTAAATCGTCTCCCCATTCCCCGCACTATGAGACTTCTCGTGAGTACAGTGCCGTAATGAGTTAAAGTATCAATCAAAGCCAAACAACTGCGACAAACTGCCTTCATTGCGAAGATATGTTTAATTTCATCCACAATTTTTGAAAAAAAATTGAAATGAAAGGAAAAAAAAAAGATTTTTGGGATAATTACGATTGACAAAAAAAATTTTGGCGCGAAAAGGACTCCGTGAAATTGAAGCGAATGCCTGATTCTAAAGGGTTTTTCATGTTTTTTACGTTGGCCGCAGAGAATTTGGACGCTTTAAAGGGGGCTAGAATATCAATGATTATGTGAAGAAATAATTGTGCGGAAGAAAAAATGAAAATTTTCATAAAGGATAATGTTTGCAATTATCAATATTTTTCAATCATTTTGATTTCCAAATGTTCGTCTGATACCCAAATTCACAGAAAGGAATTGATAGGACAATTTCTGATATTGAATTTTCGGCGCTTCGGATTCGGTGTCGAATGGCTCATATTTATATCTCACCGTAGGCAATTTTTGTTCTCCACACTGTGTAGTGGGATTGTCGATGTTGACCGATTCGACTACTTGTATGGCATCCCACTTTGGGTTCGCAGAAGCATGGAACTGCTGACTTTGTAATTTACTTATTTTCTCCTGTAACGGATAAGTAAACAATTATTCCCTGTCATAATTGTCAATGTGTATGATACTCCAAAAATTAAAAAAATGTAGAAAAGATTGAGTTTTTAGCCCCATCAGTTATGTTCGATTCTAAGGTATTCCATTCGGTTGTCAAATGAAAGTTAATAACAATTAGTTACCTTCTGGATTTTTTCACCCCCATTCACTGACTTTTTCGTAGAAGTGGATGGCATCTCAATGTCAGCCGTAATACGAATTTCTTTCTGTGAAAAAGTTTGAACACTTAGAATAACTTTACTTTGAAATGCGCATTAGACGAATACGAAATGGATTCAAGTAGAAATTCATGACGAAATGATAAAGTCGTATCTGTTTAGATGAAGAATTACTGTTATTTGAGGGGAGAGTTGTGATAGCCGTCATAAAAGTCTTGTCATGTGAGTCATCACATCACATGACACATTTACATTTCTATTTGTAAACGATGTTATATAATTGGCTTATTATGAATTAATTAATTTAGAACGAGTTTTTCTATGATATATGGTAGGATAGCCCATGTGAACGAATGAGTATCGATTGATAGTGAAGAAAAGATTCCAGTAAAACTGAAGGGATCAGACAAAGATATTTTTAGCATCAGTTCCTGAAATTGGGAATTGCAACCTCTCACTCGTGTGGAGTTGGCATCCAGGGCAAATGACTGGCTTACTATGTAAGTAGAACAAATCAGGCCACTAGTCATAAACTGTATTTTTCCATACTGATTATAACTTTTACGAGTTTGGGAAACGGTCAACGCCAATTTCTGAATGAATAAAAGTGACGAGCAGTATAAGTAAATTTGATTCATAACAACTTATGTAGTTGCAGCGAATTTCTTCAATCAGTATGGGAAAAGCACCGAGTATGACATACACTTCGTGGCTCATCATCGTCGGTAACAGGGTGCATGGCCTGTGTTGATAAGGTTTCGTCGGGATTCGATTCAGGGGATTTTTCGTCAATTGATGGATTGAGCTTTTCGTCAGCCAATGGATCAATCACTGGATCAGCCAATGGGTTATAATCTGACATTCCGTGCAGAATTTCATCATTCTCATCGTTAGCTAGTAATACACTATTGAAACCAGAAAAGGTGCCAAATGCCTGAATCTCTCCCGAATTCTGAAACAAATTATTACTCCAATTTTCCACATGACATCAGTTTTTTGTAGAGGCAAAGTAAATAATCAATAGGATCTTACTACACGTTCTCCAGCATGTGTTTTGACCCCGATGTTCTCTGAATTGTTAATTTTTGTAGGCGAAATAGTTGGACGTAGAATCTGTAAATCAAATGGAATGACATCACTATCGAAATAGGTTCACCTAATGACATAAGGAGTTGATGTATTGAAGAACTCGACTTACTCCAGTATTTCCAATACCTTGGGATGACTTTTTAGACGATAAATTTAGTAATGAATCATTTTCTTTATCATTGGCTCCCTGGATTACATTAACGTCATATGCAACTGGAGCATGTTTTTTGACCTTCTGGGCATTTTAAATATTCGATACATTATTATCATATCAATAAACAAATTATTATTATTTTACTAAAACGTAAAATATCTATAGTCTTCTTGCAACGAGTGCATACAGCAACTCCCATCGATATTTTGAAATAGAAATAAATTTGAAATTGATTTTAATTAAAATTGACGACGATTTTCTGAAAGTTTCGTGAATTATAAAAATGTCTTTTGTATAATGCGGACGCAAACGACTCATTGATGGAGTTTTTGATTGTGAAAAAATGGGGTACGGAAAACGCGTCAATAATGCAAGTTATGTAGTTAACCTGTTGTTGTTGCCTTTTCAATTCAGCCATCTGTTTTGCTAAGTCGGAATCCACTTTCTCAGCAGCCTTCATGCTTTTTACTGTCCTGATACTCTCATCATTATCAGTATCTGTCGTTGCTGAGGCTGATTCCATTTTGTGTACCGGGTAAGTTCGCTGCCTCGAAAACTTTCTTTGCTCCTCGACTGCCTCTCGAGTGTCTAAATTACATGTAACAATATCTTCCTTTGATCATACACGTTCGTGTCTTTTTTCTTTTTCATTGAATCTTCATTTCACGGTTCTTACCTTCTACAATGCAAACACATATCTCCTCTTTAGATATTTTCATTTTGTAGCGTTTGCTGATCTTCCATTCACTTTCTTTAAAACTCTGGATATCTTGTGTGTTCACGATATCGAATTTCCCTGTTTTTATATATTTTATTGAAGCCCACATCGTTATGTTCTAGAGGGCAGAAAAGTATTCGAAATATCTCTCTATATAATAAAAAAATATATGGACACCCCATATGTGGGGACCCCTTTGTAGGAGACCCTGCTTATCTGGGCCTCCCCCGCTATATAAAACCCTGATGATTATGTGGACCTCCCCCTATACGAGAAGCCCTATACAACAAAAATACACATATGGAGTGTCCATCTTCATCGAACGCATGAAAGTGATGTAGTTTATATGTCTTCAGGTTTATCAAAAAAACATGTGTTGCGGAGCAATTCACCATTCGAAAAAAATCATTAAATTGGTTGATTCCCACAGAATGTCGGTCTTCGAACATGAAGTGAAAGTAGTTACATTCGAGTCTGAGAATCATTCAACTTCAATGCATATGGAAAAATTGACGGTTAATTTTATCATTCGTAGTGACAGTTGGCTTGAATACATTTTTCTCTGAAAAATAAAAATTATCGTATTGTGAAAATTATTGTGTTGTGTCATATAAAAAAATTGACGTTTGATTTTATAATTTGTAATGACAGTTCGTTCAAATATACTTTTTTTGGAGAATCAAAATTATTGTGTTGTGAGGAAGGCTATTTGATTGGAGTGAGTATTACGTTTGAATATTTTGGCATCTATCATATGGGAAAATATTCTGTGTGAAATATAGTGTTGATTTTTCTGTCGGCAGTTTGAAATCATTTATGCCCGGATAAATTTATCCCAATTCAAACCTTGTAAGTGACTGTTTCTTCTAAGTGGTGAGTTATTGTCTTCATTATAAATTGATTATATTTCTCTTATAATATTTCAAATTTGTAGGGAGGGAGTTATAATTTTCCATCCATCTTTCCTGTATATTTTTCTTTTCCATCCAATCGGTGTGAGTGAACATTCCGTCATTCCTTCGTTCCTCCATTGACAAGGGTTACTGACTCTCACAAGGTAAAATCTTATGTATGTTTCATCATTTTTTTNTTTGAAATCATTTATGCCCGGATAAATTTATCCCAATTCAAACCTTGTAAGTGACTGTTTCTTCTAAGTGGTGAGTTATTGTGTTCATTCTAAATTGATTATATTTCTCTTATAATATTTCAAATTTGTAGGGAGGGAGTTATAATTTTCCATCCATCTTTCCTGTATATTTTTCTTTTCCATCCAATCGGTGTGAGTGAACATTCCATCATTCCTTCGTTCCTCCATTGACAAGGATTACTGACTCTCACAAGGTAAAATCTTATGTATGTTTCATCATTTTTTTTTGTGACGGAGCTGCCTTCCAAGTGGTGAGATATTGTTTTTCCTTTTCCCTAATTCAATGAATCTTGGGAAAATTCAGGAATTTGAAGGAAATTCAAGGAAATTGCAAGGAGTTTAGAGGAATTTCGAGGAATGTAGGGGAATTTCAGGAGAATTCGAGAAAACTCAAAAGAATTTAGGGGAATTCAAGGAAATTCATGGGGGAATTCCATAGAGTTTAGGGAAATTCTGGGAAATAGAGGGAAAATTCTAGGAAATTAAGAAAAAGTCAGGAAATTGAGGGAAACTTTGGGGAATTCAGGGAAATTGAAGGAAGTCAGGGCAAATTTGAGAGCAAAGTCAGAGGGAATTCAGAGGGATTTGAGGAAATTCAAGGAAATTGAAGGAAAGGGAGGAATCTTACGAAATTTCGAAAAAATTCAAAGAATGTGAGGGAATTTAAGGGAATTAGTAAGAATTTGGGGAAATTTCAGGAATTATAGTGAGAAAAATAGTTTCTCAAATTGAAATTCTCGAACGTGAACTTGTAATATCTTGTGCTTTTTCAGAATAAGTAGATATTGAAATCATGAGTGATACGAGCGACGAAAGTCTATTATCTTCAAATTCTGAAGAATCAACGGTGGAAATCAATAGATATTCCGATCGAAAACAAAGATATCGAGCATCACATCGAGATGAAATTTCAAGGCAGAACCGGGACTACTATATGCGTAATAGAAAATCTGTGAAGAGCATCGAGAATAATCGGGAATATGAAGAATTCGAACCACAAAACAGTCAATATCTTGATCGTAAACGAAGATACCGAATGAAACACCGAATCGAAATTTCCCAGAAAAATCGAAATTATTACACACTGTCAAAAAAAATGAAATCTATGAAAAAAAAGCTGCGCTCGGTAAAGGCTTCAGTGAATCTTCAATTCGAATAGTTGACGAGAATCGGGAAAATTGCATTGCATTGTATGAGGAAGCAGGCAGCTCTCGAAAGAGGAAGCATCCTTTTTAGGAAAGTGAGGAATCTATAGCAGGATAACGTAAAAAGTTTGATCGAAAATCAAGATATCGAATGAAGCATCGGGCTGAAATATCTGAACGAAATCAGAATTATTACGTGCACAAGAGAGATCAGGGAGGTAGCCATTCGAAAACAATTATCAGACGAGAAGATATCTGTGGAAAAACCAGCAGAAAATTTGAGAAACGAAAACCTCAGAATCAGGTCACTGTTAAGTCAGACACTACGGTACTGAAGAAGAGCAGACATTCTGACCGAAAACGAAGATATTATGGGAAACATCGCCATAAAATTTCGGAGCGAAATCGAAATTATTACATCCGTAATGTGAAAAAAAAGTGTCTAGGTGAGAAGTGGTCCGAAGATATTGAGATATCTAACGTCGGGAATTTAGACTGGGAGTGTCCGTCTTGTGGCGCTTTGCATTTTCCATTAGAACGAGGAAGGGTGAAAAATAATTGCTGTCATGGTGGGAAAATTCAGTTGGATCCTCCTCCCACTTTCCCGAAGAAACTGCGCAGATTATTTACCGCAAATAGTCAGAGGGGCATCCGCTTCCGCATATATATTCGATTTTACAATAATTCATTTGCTATGGCCTCATTTTGTCCAGCAGCGAAGTTAACCATCGAGGAGTGGGCTCCATGACAATTGGAGGAGAAGTCAATGCGGTCGTGACAACCAGCCTTTATCCTAGAGAAAGACAAACCCCTCGGAATGCGCAGATTTATCTGTGTGAATTTCAAGAAGCTTTAAAATTATGGAAATTTGAAACTTCTAGCTCTAATGTTTTGAAAATGTTTCAAAAAATTATGAGTGAGAATCGGTACGTCAAAATTTATAGAACATTATTAGAAACATATCGAAGAAACCGAGGACGTGAAACAATCCTTTATTTCCGTCAAGCTTCAGCTGTGGTGAATAAACAGAAGAGATATGATTTACCATCAGGTTTGGGAGCAAGATCAGAAGTAGGTGCCATCCTCATCACCGGTAAAGAAGGAAATGTTCCACAAAATGTAGAATTCCGCGTGTATCCTCGTGACAGTATGCAATGTCAAAAAATGCATAAGCTATCACGATTTGCTGAACAGATGTTATTTCCTCTACTCTTCCCCAATGGTCAAGACGGATTTTCAATCTATATGGATAATAATTCCCCGATGAATGACCGTCGTGTCACTGTCGTTCAATATTTTGGATGGCAATTAAGGATTCCTAAGAATAATGAGTTCAATCCTTTCATCATGGGAGGGAGGTTGACTCAACAGTATATTTTATATGGTTATATTGTTAACGAGTGGAATCGCCTGAATAATCTCCGTTCAAATCCTCAACAATTTCGGAGAGACACCTTGCAAGGCTTAATCGACCACGTAGAACAGAGTACATTGAATACCTCGGATCACATTCGATTAGGTCAAGCAATGATCCTTCCATCATCATTCGATGGCGGTCCGAGAGCAAAACATCAACACTATCAAGACGCTATGGCTATGTCCAGGGAAATTGGTAGACCTGATTTATTCATAACACTGACAGCTAATCCAAAATGGGATGAAATTGTTAATTTCTTGAGAATGCTACCCGCTGGGTACACACCATCTGACATCCCTTATTTTGTTTGTCGAGTTTTTTATATGAAATTGTGCCAATTCATAGATGAAATCAAATCGGGTAAAATCTTTGGGAAGGTCTTATGCTATACCTGCACAATCGAATTTCAAAAGCGAGGATTGCCTCATGGACATTTGATATGGGTGCTTTGTAAGAGAAATAAAATGTTGACACCAGAGGTCATCGATAAATTCATAAGCGCCGAAATACCTGATGGAAAAAAATACCCGAAACTTCATGAATTAGTGATGAAACATATGTTGCATGGCCCGCACAGCAATAAAACACCATGTTGGAATGCGGAGAAGAAGAAATGTTCTAAGAAATTCCCAAAGAAATTCACACCCGATACGAAGATTGAGACTGATGGTTTTCCAGTATACAAGCGACCTGACAATCGCAGTAAATGTTATACATATACCAGAAAATTGAATAACAAATTGATTCTTGTAGACAATTCTATGGTCGTTCCATATAATCCATATTTATTGGGTAAATATGGATGCCATATCAATGTCGAATATTGTGGATCAGTGATGGCAATCAAATATTTATATAAATACATCAATAAACCACACGATCGGGTGAAAGTTCAAATTGAATCACGAGGTATCAATGAAATTGATGATTACATTGATTCACGGTACGTTAGTTCGATGGAAGCCGCTTGGAGATTGTTAGAATTGCCAACACGCTTGATGAGTCATAGTGTTACTAGGCTGCCTGTACATCTACCCGGCCATCAGTATATTCGATTTGAGGAGGGCCATAAAGAAACAGCAATGAATTCCAATCAAAGTATTACTAAATTAACCGCCTTTTTCGATTTAAATTCGACTGAAGAACTGGCCCGAGAGTATACGTACCTCCAAATTCCGAAACATTTTACCTGGAATCAAAAAAATCATTGCTGGCAGAAGCGGAAACGCGGAACTGACAAAACCATTACAAGGATGTATTCTGTTTCTCCGAAGGATGTGGAACGATTTTTCTTGAAAATATTGTTACTACATAGGAAGGGAGCGACCTCTTTCGAAGCACTCAGAACTGCCGGTGATAAAATTTGTTCCACATTCCATGAGGCTGCCTATGAATTAGGATTCATTAATAACCCGAAGCACATTGAAGAAATGATGGAGGAATGTTGTGCAACAATGATGCCGAAGCCACTGAGAAAATTTTTCGCCTATCTGCTGCTTACGTGTGATAATATCGATGTTCGAGGTCTGTGGAATAAATATAAAGAATTCCTCTGTGATCAATTCACTGAGCGTGATACACTGATCGAAATCGAACGATTGTTGAACAGTGAAGATAAATCTTTGTTGCTGTTTGGATTTGAAGAGAAAGATTTAGAATCATCATTTGATGAATTCGAAGATGATCGTACTGTGACTGAACATTCATTACTAGCGAATGAAATGAAGACAAAATTGAATAGTGATCAATTACGAGTATTCATGGATATTACAAATTCTTTGGAAAATGGAATGGAAAAATTATATTTCGTTGACGGACCAGGAGGAACAGGAAAAACGTTCCTTTATAAGTGCTTATATCATCATTGGCGTAGTTTGGGGAAGAATATCGTTTCAATAGCTTGGACAGGTATAGCAGCGATTCTATTACCTAATGGACGAACTGCACATCGATTTTTCAAGTTACCAATAAATTTGCCAGAAATTGATGATGAAATCACTCCAATATTTCTAACAAAACGTGCTAAAATAAATTTAACCAATGGGGATATAATCATTTGGGATGAGGCCTCCATGATACCTGGTGTGGTATTGAAAATGATCGATGTCACTCTGAAAGATTTGATGAAATCAGAGAAATTATTCGGTGATAAATGTTTCTTATTTGGAGGGGATTTTCGTCAAATTCTACCCATTGTCAAACGTGCCGGACGGAAAGAAATCGTGGCTGCTTGCGCAACGAAACTGTCATTTTGGAATTCCATGAGAAATTATACCTTGAGACAAAATATGCGCATTGATGGAGAGCAATTGAATAAAGGGTTGCTTGATATAGGTGATGGGAACATTGATAAGGTGGAAATTCCTGAAAACATCTTGTCCAATAATATAGTTAAAGAACTGTACAGAAATAACAGCGAAGAAAATCATTTAGCTGAATGCACACTCCTAGCTGCTTTGAATATTCAAGTAGACATGTTGAATGATCAAGTACTAGAGAAATTTCCTGGAGAAATAATTGAACTGATGGGACACGATGTAGCTACCGCATGTGACACTGATGAAACCGATGGAGATGACATAATGCTACGCTTCCAACCAGAATATTTAAACAAATGAAATTTCACGAGTCTTCCGAAGTTCAAAATCAAATTGAAAATTGGAGCCATAGTTATGTTGATCCGGAACATATGCATAGCAGATGGTCTTTGTAATGGAACAAGACTAATCGTTCGCAAAATTACTAACAAAATTCTGTACTGTACAGTTTTAACAGGTGACAAAGTTGGAGATGCAGTCACTATTCCGAAGATCGCATTGAATACAAAAGATAACAAAGAATTACCATTTGTTTTACACCGAACTCAATTTCCGATTCGATTAGCATTTGCGATGACCATCAATAAAGCACAAGGACAATCCTTCGATCGTGTTGGTATATATTTGGATGAAGCATCACCAATTTTCAGTCATGGACAATTATACGTCGCTCTGTCACGATGCAGAACATTATCTGGGTTGAGAATCAAATTTATTTGTGAAAATTCGGAGAAATACGTTCAGAACATCGTATACAAAGAAATTTTCAATGAATGAACTCCAATTTGAAGAATTCATATAAACAAAGAGGTTATTCCGATGATACAGGTAGAAACATGACCTGGAACTTTGTGCTTTTAGATCCACAAGGGAATGCCACATATGAAAAATAATGAAATCGGTCATAAACTAAAGAATGAGATGTCATAGAAATTAGAGGTTATATTGAGATGAATCTTGGGCTAGCACAAAGTTCCTGGCCCGAGGAATAGTCTATAATGCATTCCTAATGTATTTCTCATGTGGATTTATGGATGCGATCACGAATGGAATTTTATTTTTCTTCAGATGGTAAAATCTGTATCATTCATAATGACAAATGCAAATATTGAGAATCCAACAGTTGTTACAAATGTTCAGATTGGACTGCCTATGAGGTAAAATTGGTTGGCAGACTGTGAGGATATATTACAACGTGGATAATTATGGGTTATGTATAAAAATCAACTCATAAAAACTGATATATATGTTACATTGTATGAAAAATTCATTATTGAAGGAGAAATTTGATTGATCGCCAATTCATCGCCAATTCATCAGTGAGAGTAATCTCATATAATTATCACGGATGAAAATAATCGGAAAAAGTTTGTATTTCATGATGGTTATCAGCAAATAATAATTTTGTAGGAACAATCATGGATAATCATGAGCAATCAATAGCCGAACCGTCACCGAAAGCAATTGACAACATCCCAATAGACATGGATATCGATGATGAAGATTTCAAAGATTGTAAGAATTGAAAGCATTGTATAAATTGTATCAACTGACTCATCAACTCTCTTATTATTATGATAATAACTCACTCTTTATCGCATCCATCTTCCATTGAATAGAAATAATAATATCATGGATTTTATGTTATATTCAAAGGGGCTACTAACGAATTCGATGAAATGCTAATCAACGCTCAATTACATTGGGAAGAAAACGAGAAATTTTACAATGAAGGATGTATGGAAGGGCTATTGGCCAATATTATCAATGGAATTGATCGTCAAAATTTCAGAGGAACTTCTCCCACCGACGAAAATCATTCGAAAAGGTTCACGTGCATAATTCACATTTAGATCATTCAAACGGAGAAATCAGTTGGAAATCAATTTCAATTTTCATTGCAGATTCTGTCGAACAATAATTCAAAAGATTCTTAATCATATCGATTATGGAGAGGAAAGAGTGAATAAAAAAACAGATATTCATGAAATCCGGAACAAAACTAAATCTCAAGCCATAACAAACCAATCTCGGAAACAGACACATGGTGTTAAACGTAAAATCTCCAGCAATCACCACCGCCGCGATTCCTGGAATCTCCTGGAATCACGAAAAAAAAGGAAAACCACTGAGGATGAAGCTTGATTGATCAAAGTGAATGTATAACAATAGACTTCCCTTAGCTCTCCAATCAAAATTCCTAACATAACAAATGACTCGAAAATCTCGGACAGCTAAATTTTTTATGATATTTCAAGAGTTCTATCCAGATATGAAAATCGAGTCGCTAAGAATCTGACGATAACTAACTCTTAATCCAATACATGTCAAAGGTTCTCTTCTCAAGTTTTCAAAATCTTTGGGAATCTTTTCAGGTCGAGGAATTCTGTATTCATACCAGGCGTTGGTATCAAAATTTCTTGAAATATATGGCTCTGGAGTTGGATGGCATTGACGGGTTATTGCAAAAGTGGACGGAAAATTAAAGAAGCATCGTTAATGAGTGTGGACATGTCATTCTGAGGGAGCAACTCTTGAAATTCGAGAACGAGTGACGTCGTAGAATCGCATATGCAAATCAGATGGAAAACGCTAGACATGCTCAATATGTTGGAAGACGTAAAGGTCGAATGGCTGCATTAGCAGAATGAACGGATGGGCATATCGAAGGAAGTGACGTCATGTGTTCAATTTCTAATAATATTACAATGAGAACCTTAATTCCGCAATTAGGATATTCTTGTCACTCTTCCTTTGCAATCCTATTTCCTTTCTTCCTTCTCAAAGTGAATTGTCTTCCATCAACAGTTGTATGTATTGAATATTTCATATTACTGTTCAAGCATAAAGGATAAAAATGTATACAAAAACCGTAAGATTTGTCATAATAACAAACTTTTACGTTTGAATTTGAGTTGAATTTGGGAAAACTACAGAAGAAGGCCTCATAATCACAAGCAGATGAGAATATGAAACGACTGATCGAATCGGCATGGCTGACGAGGGCCATGAGTGGAATCTTATATGAGGACAGGAGTCTACGTATGGACAAGTCCTATATGAGGAAAGGTCCCACATAAGGGGATCTCATACGAGAGGGAACTCTATATGATCCCATGTAAAAGAAAGATTATATATGATAGGGGGATAGTCCAATATGATACTCCCATATAGGGGGTTTCTATGTAAGGCGAATTTATATGGGAGCGGTCCTTATTTGGCAGGCGGTTCGTATAAGATAAACATTCATGTTGGGTTCAACTTACCAATTTCTCAGCACTCATGTGGTCATACCGATTCTGGTCAAAAGAGAGAGAGGGGGGGAGCGAGCGAAGTGAGCGGGGGGGGGCGAAGCCCCCCCAGGGTTGGCGAGCGGAGCGAGCAGGGGGCGTAGCCCCCTAGTTAGTAATAATTTCCATACACTGGGATGAAAGACCAAATTAATGTTACGCGTTGTAAATCTAATTTTCACGCCAAATATATGGTGTTTTGAGGACACACGGCTTAGCACAAGAGTCGAGATACGCGGTAGCGTATCGGCCAAGAACAGTTTTGAACGACTGAGCGAAACATCAGGCCGAGCGCACCGCGTGTCTATACACGACAGAACTTCCCTCTCCACTACCTCTAAATCATTTACATTCGGTATAATGAAAACGGGACGACAAATCGGGAAAGTGTCGTTAGTTACATCACATAAATCGCCTATGAGCTTTTCAACGGTGTAACTATGGTATTTTTTGGATTAACAGTAAAAAAATATACGAGCATAGCAACGGGTTGATATTCACATTCTCGCGATTCACATTATGAAGTCGGAGAATCAAGTTGTAACGTTGGCAGCACCGGTCCAACTGAGCCTCATATCCAACGTTGAAGTGTTGCCATCAGTGCATTTGAATGTGGGTTGTGATGTTGATATGGGGAACCACGGGAAATGTCCTTCTTCACGTTAAATTACTTATTAGAATGGAACGGAAAATCGACTCGGTGTTCTATTTTGTTTTCTCTTGTCGAAAATTCGAATTCCATCCCGCCATATCTATATTCATTTGCGGACCTCGGACATAAAGGTAGTTTATGCACTGTTTGTGATGTTGTCGGTTTATGGTTGGAATGTGACAAAAGTGAGATGTGTCGAAAATATTGTGTGATCAAGTATTAAATGTCCGTGAATAGTTAAATTCGAAAAGATTTCATACAATACGGCAGGCCTAAAACATGAATACTAGACGATAAGTTAACAATTTCTTGTTCCAAGAAATCCATAATACTAACTTCTTCGACCCAGTGAATAATGAATGAAGGGTTGTTGAACAGAATGAATACAGACTTTATACGAATGAATACATCCAGACTATTGTAAATTCACAATATATGCGTCGGTTAATGTCAATCATAGTGAATCCTTCCTCTTCTCATTGTCCAAATGATATTATCATATTCCCAAAGGAAAATGTCGAAGATAATTTTTGGCTGTTGGGTTCAACCAACAACTCACCCATCACTAATACTTCTTTCACCTTTCATTACAATGTTCGACAGCTATTTGATGACGAAATAACAATTGCAAAGCAAGAGCGAAATTAATAATGGCGGGGCCGGAATCATTATGTCTTATATCACAAGAGCTTTGAAATTATGGGGGATTTCTCAACAGATTCGTTGGAAACAAACGAAGGAATGAAGTTTTTCAGGTTCAACAATCACGAGCTTCCAGGTGAACAATATCGTGGCAAATCTTTGAACAATAACGATTGAATGACATTTGAAAAATGAGTAGATTCCGGTTTTTTTCTTTAAATGAAACGTCGGATTACCTCGAATGTTCTAGCGAACTACCAGATACTCCTTCTAGAACACTCAAAAATTTTCTTGCCCTCTCCAGAAAAAGACTGAATTCTTTGAAAACATTCCATATTTTAAAGGGAAAACAAAGCAATTCTTCTCATCAAGAGAAAAAAATGTAAAATTTTCAAAATGTAACGTTCTCGAATCGATACATTATCACTGATTCCAGTTGATCTAGAAAATAGAGTAAATGAATGAAAAAAAAAAAGAAACTTTTTTCAAAATATGATAGCAATTGATTAAAGGTGTCCACTCCTCAAAATAGACCCCTGTCATCATTATGGCATATTTTTATTAAATATTGACATGATATAAAATAGAAAGGAACATAAGTGTATACAATAAAATAATGATATGTTACATGAATTTTTAAATCATTCAGATGCGAGAATCATTGATAATTTTTTTTTAATCATAAAATGGGCTCCAGCATAAATGTTTTCTAGAAAATCTTTCCCGGAAAATTGTTCTCCAGAAATATGAATTTCCTGATAATATTTAGAAAACTTATCGATTGTGAACACAGAGAAAAAAGGTTTTGATTTTCAGGAACTTGTCACTAATTTTCACGTGCTAAGATGCATGTTATTGGATATGAGTCATAATGTCATTGAAAATTAGTGGCAAAAGCACTGCATTTCAGAATTTCTCTATTTTTAAACTAGTGATCAGTCCCTGAAAATCAACGACATTACCTTGAAAATGAGTAACCATGTCACTGAAAATTGGGAACAAAATCACTGTATTCCAAAATTTTCATTGTTTTTTTTTCTCTATCAATTCCATTAGTAATAAGCTTCCGAATGGATCCGTATTAGTATTGTCATAATATTTAGATGTAGCTGACTATTGACTAACGATCATTCTTTCGATGAGAAAAATTAATTGAAGATGTACACGTTTTAAAATAGATAACATCCCCTGTCTCTGTCACAATTATGACATATGTATTTTGTCGAATATTGATATCATAAAATAGACGAGAACAAAATTGAATGTTGAAAGACCTTCAGTTATTCAGATGCAAAAATCATTGAGAAAATCACGATATGTCATTTTTTAGAAAAGAAAAAAAAATCGATATATGGTCTACGCCAGGATGTACTGAATCGATCCACCAAGAATTTTATGTAGAAGTGTGACCTGACGATAATAACTAGTAGCCAAAATTTTAGGTATTCATTCCAACGTTTACGTAAGTTATGAACCATTGAATTCACTCTCAAGTGGCAAAAATAGAAAAACACGAAAATCTCGAAAACTTTGAATGATCGGGTACATACATTCTGACTGATTTCGACAGATGAGAGTAAGACAAGTATTTTTAAAAATAAAAATGAAATCGGACCAGTGGTTGGAAGATATTGAGCAAAACAATTTTTCACAAAGAGTTGAATATTTTCCAAACTACTGGTACGATTCCGCTTAGCCAATCAACCTGAACCTAGTTACCTTGGGATATTGTGACTTGAATTGATAGACATCATCAGAATGAACATTTTAACCTAACACACCCGGGTAGAAATTTAACCGGGGATTCAGCCGCAACTCGGGTGAGCGGGAGCTCAGCCTCGGCTTGCCGCTTGACCCGAGTTCACGCCGCACACGCCGCTCCATACCGGCTCACAGTCGAACGCTCATCAGACGGCATAACCCGGCACTTGAGTTGGAGCTGTGGCTCAACGCTTAGAACTCAGCTCCGATTGAGGCGTGTCGTTTCGAGTGGAGGGTGGAATAGAATGATATTTATGCATTTTTAGAATATCGATTTAAAATTTGAATACTTTGGAAAATCCTTGTCTTCTTACTATAAAAAAAATGGAATTCCACTGAACTTTCTATAAAATTTGAAATTTACTGATTTTTCCCTCTGTCATCGAATATAAAACCTGGCACTTTCTCTAAGAATTCCTATTGAATTTCTTTTGGAGCTCTATGAGAATTC